ATTGCCTTTGTATTTAAGGCCTCTTTTTTATGGAACCCTATTCTTTATTGCATCATGCAATGTATCTTACACTTACTCAGATAATTTTGGTTCTCAGCCAATAACATGACATTGTTTGCATATAATTTTATAAACACGTTCATGTCTTCAAATAATGTACTTCTGATATCAGTATAAGCATTCCTAACACTCATAAATGTATTAAATAAGAGAGCTGGTTTGGCACCTGGGTAGAAATGAAGAGATTACATCATAGTTCAGTGATGGCAAACCTTTTAGAGATCAAGTGCCCAAAAACTGGCCCCACCCCTGCTCCACCCCCTGCCCCTCCACCCCACCCCACCCCCCACCCCACCTGCCTGCAGGGCCACTCACTGCCTCCAGGGCCCACCACAGATCACCCAGGCAGCCCAGCAGCGCCATGGCAGCCACACCCTCTGCCCGCGCCCCGCAGCATCAACTGTGCGGGATGGGGCATGAGGGCAGAGTCTTGTCTACGCCACCTGGCTGCCATGCCTTGGCTGCGCTGCTCCGTGTGGGCCACGCTCGGGAGCGACTCTCCTCCAGGGGGGCTGCTGGTGAGGAGATCATGGGGTGAGGCGAGGCTGGGGCAACAGCACGTGTGCCCACAGAGAGGCCTCCGAGTGCCATCTCTGGCACGCGTACCATAGGTTTGCCACCACTGTCATAGTCCCACCTTAAGCATGAAACCAGATGGATGACTTTGGGCCAATCATTCTCTCTCAGTCCAACTCATCTCACAGGGTTGCTTTTATGGGGAAAATAGGAGGAGGAAGGAGTATTAAGCATGTTCATTACCTTGAGTTATTTATAAAATAATAAAGAGAGGATTAAAAATCTAAAGAAAAAAACCCAAGGGGATACCATTGTCTAACTGAATTCACTGATCATTCCATAGATGTTATTTTCATTTTATATTGCTCTTATGACATTTAACAGCCACCTTTCAACTACACATTTGTATAAAATGTTCCATAATTCAAATTGTTCACATTATCATACATTTTCTCTAAATGAACGCATTTACAATACATGTTTTCATATTCAAATATTTTTGAATGACATGGGCTGCATTCTTGCTAGCTAGGTTAATGCAGCACAGCATTTCCCAAATTTTACTCACTGTCTCTATTTATATTTCTTTAATAAGAATTCTAGCAACCTCCTTTCCATCAAGCACATTTACTAAATAATTCCCTAGTAGTTTTTTATTCACTGTTGCCTCATCTCCTTTTATGTCCCTTTATGAACAAAAAAGAATTTTGTCCAATCATGAGGGACAGATGCAGTCTTCAGCCAGATCATATTAAAAAATGTTATATAGACATTCCAAAGCAAACCACATTATTACTTTAGTATTTAGTATTTAGTATTACTTTAGTATTTAGTAGTATCCATACCTCCAACCTAAATATTTTTCAACATAGTGTATGTCAGATGCAAGAAACCAGACCGAAACTGTGAATTGATCAGAGAAGTTTCTTTATTGCTACTTGCCTACTTACAAGAATGTCACTAGACTACCACACTCTCTTGAGAACAACCAGATAAGGACTTCAGGGATTTAGGGGTAGGGGTGGGGGTCAGGTCTCCGTTACTTCCTCCCCTGCAGGCACCCCAAACTAGTCACTCTCTTAATTCCACCCCCTACTCAGTTGCAGATTCCACCACTATTTATGGCTGCCTTGCTATGAGTTTTATCTTGGACATTAACATATACATAGTAGTTGTTTAAAATCCACTCTGTGATATATCACTGTCTTCTAAAGTGATACCTATAAATATCTAAGATGCTTCTTTTAGCAAACTCAATTCAGTTTTATCCTAAACATTTTCATCACTTTTATTCATAATTCCATTTACTCTGCTATGCTGTACTTAGCCATTTCAACCTGTTTACAAAACACTGTTCTCATTAAAAGTGTTCTGCATTTCCTCTGTTGCTTCTAGTTAACTGTTCATTTCTCTCTTTGAATATATTCTTTTTACCTATCCTTTTTTTAAATGTGCACTGTATATCTTTTGGTCATCCTAATATTTCACTGCAATTACTTTTATATGCATTTTACCTCATCCACAGCCTCTTTCACTTCATCATTATACCATTAGTATAACGCTATACACTTCAGTAGCAGATTATGTTGTTATACTTTTTACCCTACTTAAAGCAGCTTCCACCTCCTCTTTTCTTACATCATTGGAGGATTGATTTATCTCCTAATACTTTTTGTACTTTACTTTCTTTTCTTCTTTTCTTATTCTGCTTGTTTCTTTACTTCTTTTTTTGTCTGTCTTCATTTCCCCCTGAAAAACTATTCTTAACATTACCAAATAATGGTCTGTTCCACTTTCAAATTTCTCATCAATTTTATATCCTTCCCTAATGTTTTTAATCTTTCATCACAAACAATCAAATCAATCATGCTTTTAAATTCATATTCATTCCCTTTCCATGCATGCATATGAATAGATGTATTCGAAGCAGACCATTTTCTAAGCATTTATTCTTCTGTCTCTGAATGCCCAATCATTTTTTCTATATTTTCTCATCTCATTTCCACCAATCTATTCATGTCACCTGGCAAAACATATATATGTTTTTCCTCCTGGATCAGATTCATTCAGAATGTTGCATAGTTTTTTCCCCCCAGACTCATTTCTGGTTCTTTCATTAACACCATTCAATGGAGCGTAACATGCAATTATCACCAACCTACGATTTTCTACTTTTATAGGCACCAACAACAATCTAAATGACACCAATTCACGACCTTTTGACATATGTTTAAGCCCTCTTGTTCATAATTAAGCCTACACCTTTTCTTCTCTGCATGCATTCATCAACCCCACTCTATAAGATCAAACCATCTTAATTCAGATGTATCACATCCTTCTTTTTTAGTTGCACACTCACACACAAACACACTTTTCCTACTTGTACTTCATTCACTAATTCCTGCTATTTAAAATGTATGCCTCTTACATCCCAAATTACAACCTTCCATATGCCAATAGAACCAACCAGATCCATAGAAAGTGAACCCCCACCCCACTTCATCAATGCTTTGGTCAATTTGGATTTTGCATGATCCTTTTCAGGAAGGAAATAACAGAATGGTGGTTGCAACATTGTCAGTGTTGCCTCTGGTTGATATTGTGTGCAGTGTTAATACATGTATAAAAGAGGCAGGGCTTTCATCAGAATATTGCTACCATCACTTTGCCTTCCTGGACCCATTCCCTGACAAGGCCACTGAGCAGGAACTTTTCATAAGCAGATTTTTTTTCTTCCTTTTCTTTTCTCGTTTCCTCACATCCCACATACCCTTCACCCAAAAATATTCTACAAGCTCCTGCAAACCACCAGAAGGCCAATATTCCCATGCTCCAAATTGCTTTAGTTATCATATCTCAGGCACTCTTTTTCTTTTTCCTTTCTTAATTACCTTCCATATCTACTTTCTAGGAGCAAGAATTATTTGAAAACACTGCTCATGTTGAAAGATATCAGGAAGCTCTGGTTTATTTTGACCATGGTTGCAAACAGCCTAAGTGTTCACACATAGCACTAATCCATAAATGGATGCATTCACACATCACACTAAGCCAAAATCTTCACTTAGCACAAGGTATAAAACCATCCATTCTGGCTTGTTTAATGAATATTATTTAAAAGCAACCAAAGAATTGCAACTGTTCATTTTTAACCTAGAGAAATGAAACATAGCAAAGGTAACTTGGAAAAAAATATTCCAAACTTAGATTTGATTTTGCTTTCCATTTCATTGAGCAAGTTAGAAAGAGAAAGAAGAAAAAATATCCTTCAGAGACAGATGGAAAGGCTGTTGAGAAAGACTGATTAAATGCTGCCCTCTGGGTCTCAGACATTTTTTTAGAGGTCCTTGAGTTCAAGGATGGCTCATTTACCTCTTCTTCTTCTTCTCAAAGCCAAATCTATTTTTCCTACCTCTGCCTCATGGGATGGAGAAAATCCACTGTTCCACAAAGCTCTGAGCTGTTAATCAGAGCTGTTGAACTCTTTAAGTGCACCCAGAAAAGTGGTGGTAAAAAATAATAATAATAGAGATGAAATGGCTGTACATCCAATCTAGTTGATCATAGACATGGAAGGGAAGACAGCGGCCCATTTTCTCCTCAGAAAGTTATTCAACTTGAACAGCGTGTTGTTTTTGAGTTGTGCCTTAATGGACAGTTCTGATGTGGGAGATGATTTCTAAAGGAAGGCAGGACTTTTTCCAAGTCCAGATCCATTCTGAGCTTGAACGGCCATATCACAGACTGTATTCCAAACAAAAGAAGTGAGGGAAAAGTAAAAAAAAATTACTTTCCACATTTAATTAAAATTGGCATGTCTTAGATTATTACTCACTTCTTCTACTACAAGTGCTCACAAGGTATGGCCAAAAAAAGTCAAGACGGCAATCACAAAGAGAAGAGACTTAATTTCAGTTGCATCAAGGTAGCTGCCATCTTAAATTTTTTGAGCAAGCTCTGCAGAACCCTTTTGCCACATTAGCAATTGCAATTTCATAAGAACTGTGACAGGGTAAAGTGCCTGGCAGGAGAAAAATGACTGGGTTCTGCCAAGACCATAGGCCGACTCAGAAGAAACTTTACTTTCTCTTTTCTTACATTTCTTACCAGGGAATTTCTCTACATGGCCTGTAAAGATCAAAAAGAGGTTGATCAAGCATTTGCAGTTGCCATTATTGACTTGTTTTGACCCACCCTTGTAGATGATCCTGTCGCTTACCCTGACCTGGAATCATAGGGCTGGAAAGGCCATTGGAGGTCTTCTACTCCAACTTCCTGCCCAAGGCAGAAGATCTTATTCCATCCTGGATAAATTGTAGTCCAGTCTTTTCTTGAAAACTTCCAGCAATGGAGGACCCAAACTCCAGGATGCAAGCTGTTCAATTGTTCAGTTGTTCTCACTGTTTTGTTCACTGTTTTGGCAGATCACACCTGCCAACTTCTTCAGTATACAGGGATGTAAACCACCTGGTACTGGCAATTTTAATAATCTAAGGTGAATAGGTGTATTTTTTTTACCAATTTCTTACCTATTTTGACTTGTATTCCTTGTTCTGTCTCCCCTGGTGCTGCTTTTGATAGATTGGGCTATTTTTTTTCTTTTGCCCGAAGACAGATGCAAAGAACGTATTAAGCGGTTATGCTTTCTTCTTGTTTGCCACCATCTTCTTGGCATCTTCTCCCATTAGTGGACCAATCATTTCCTTGACATTTTCCTTGTTCCTTATGTATTGAAAGAAACATTATTTTGGTTATTTTTGGCATTTCTTGCATTTGTTCTTAGTTCATTCTGAGACTTAGTCTTCCTGATCCCATCCCTGCAGATTTGGGCTATTTGTTGGTATTCTGTTTTAGTTATGGACCCCTCTTTCCATTTTTTATACTTGTCCTTTTCTCTCTCTCAGTTTATTAGACAGTTCTGCATGCAACCATGCTGGTTTTGTCTATAGTCTCTTATTTTTCTTTCTCAGTGATAATGTGGAAGACTAGACTTTTATAATCTCATTTTCCAGAGTTTCCCAAGCTTCTTGAGCTGTTTCACCTTTAAGATTTCCATCCATGGAATTCTTCCTAAACTCTCTCTTAGTTTGTTGCAGTCCGTTCTCTTAAAATCTAAAACACTAGTTTGGCATTGTTCAATTACTCATGTCTATATGATGTGGTCACATGGTCTTTTGTTTTTCTTTCTTAGTGATATAGACTTTTTGTTTTGTTTTTGAGAGTTTCTTCCCTCTAGGATTTCCATCCATGGAATCCTTCCTAATCTCTCTCTTAATTTGTTGAAATCAGCTCTCTAAAAGTCTAAAACACTTGTCTGACTTTGTTCAATCACCTGTCCCTGCATTATGTTGAATTCTAGTATGACATGATCACTCTCCCCCAAAGTTCCTACAACTTCTACTTTGTCAACCATTTCATCCCTATGAATTAGGATTGCTGATCCTCTAATTCATTCCTTCACCGTTTGAGTGAAAAAGTTGTCAACTAGGCACATGAGAAACCTGTTCAATCCCCCATTTGCTATAGAATTTATTTCCCAAGTGATGCCAGGGTAGTTATAATCTCCCATTATTACAGTGATGTATTTCCTGTATACCTCAGCTAACTGGTTGGCAAAAAGTTCATCTATTTCCTCTGCTTAGTTGGCCTCTCTGTCCCCATCTTTTAGTTTTAGTTATAATTTGCATATTATTGTGCTTCTATACATTTGTATAAACATTTATGGTTTTATTTTGAGGTTGTAAACTGCCAGAGTCACCTTGCAGCAAGATGGGTGGCAATACTGGCAGGAGGTTTGCCTCTTGCTCAGTGCTATGTTCTGTTTTTCTGCAATAATACCCCCCATTCCTCCAGAATCAAATTATCAGCATTTCTTTGAATATGCTTTGTCCACAGTCCAGCTCAGGTCATAATTATACAGCATTGTACCTATTGGGGATAAGGAATCTGGAACTGAAATTAGAGTGTGAGTATGACTGCATTTCTTTGCTTTCTATTAATAGGGTGGAAGGAATGACCGAACTGCCATCGTATAATAACACCATCAGTGACTTCCTTTTCAGAGGTAAATCTTTTATAGTTGAACACAAAAGATGAGAAATAGACTTATTAAAAGAAGGGGAGGGGAAGGAAGAAAACTAATCAGTGCTTAAATGAAAACCTCAGGAGATTTGAAAGTACAACTTGTTCCATGTGTTGCTCTTGAATGTTCACAGCATTATGATCAAACCCACACACACACGCACGCACACAAAGGTCAAGTGGGAAAACAAGCTCCAGAAAAGAAAAACGAAAGGAAGCCAAAATCACTTCAAATCCAAGTGGAAAGCAAAGTGCCAGAGAAAGGAAAGGAAGGTAGAAGAGAATTCAAACTGTCAGTGATCAAAGTGCTTTTGTACAGAGTATGAATATTATGTTGCAAAGAGTCTGCCATATTGATAATAGTGTTGTACAACCATCTATAATCAATATTAGTGTCTGTCTTGCTGGGGCAGTGACATTCTATCACTTTTCACTTCACTTTAGCAAACCTTGGATCATCTTCCTTTGAAGAACTCTAAATCAATCAATCAATCAATCAATCAATCAACCAATCCTTGTACATTGGGCATGTTTGACATAGATAGCTAGCATTCTCATTTTAAAGTACCCAGCCCCCTTGCTTTAACAGTTGCATATCAAGTAGAAACTCAAAAAGTAAGTTTGTTTTTGGCTTAGAAATATAGCCATGAAGAAAACTGCAAGGGCTACTTCCTGCTTTTGAGGAATTATTCAATACGTTGGTTTCCTCCAAGAAAAAAAATGCAGCATTGTCATCTGTCAGAAGTACACTTGGCAGCAAAAAAAACGAGCAGCAGATGAAGGCTTTCCCATCAAACCATTTGCTTGACTCATAGCTGGGAAAATTGTTCACATCAGTTATGCAGGAAAGATAGGAGAGGAGGAAATTCCTGTTTGAGCTACTAAATTATGTTGGTGTGCATTGTCCTTCTGACTCAACGAATGGCTCCATCTGCTTTGTGCAGAAGCAGTCAGATACCCAGTAGGTAAAGTCTGCTTCAAAGATTTGTGAGCTAATGTAATGCCTGGGAATGACATTGGGAAGACAGGAGGGAGAGCCACAGACTAGACAACTGACGTATATAAAAGGTATATCAACCCACAGAAGGAGAGAAGGAAATTTCAGAAGGGACTCTTCCTGCTTTTCTAAGGAGTAAAAGGAATGGAGGGAAGAAACAGTTTCAGTCTTGCAAGCTTCTGTTAATATACAATACAATAAAGATAGAGGGAGGACTTGATAGATAGATGGTCCAGAACTGGGTATAGTATTACAAGTTTGTCCTGGAATACTGTGTCCAGTTCTGGTCACCATGATACAGAAAAGATGCTGAGACTCTAGAAAGGGTGCAGAGAAGAGCAACTAAAATGATAAGGGGTCTGGAGGCTAAACCATATGATGAACGGTTAAGGGAGCTTGTTATATCTAGTCTAATGAAGAGAAGAACTAGGGGTGACATGATAGCTCTGGTCCTTGACGTGCTTTCACAGGGAGAAGGGGAGAACTTACTCTTCAAAGCACCTGAGCAGGTAGCACAAGTGGCAAGTGCTCATACTTGTGCATGTACAGCTCCAGTTGCGCGAGCGGTGGGCATTCGCACTTCTGCAGATGGAGTTGCGTGCATTCACACATGCACCTGCTGCTTACACAAAACCATCCCCTCCACACACACACCCCAGTCTGTCAAGCTTCCCTTCCAATCACATCTTCCCTTCCAATCACACTGAAGCTCCATGTAACTAGAATTTCAGGGAAATTATCTTCAGGAAGACGATTTCCAAATCACTTTGGGTCCTCTGACAGTTGTGATTGTATGCAGCTTGTGGATTTTTGAAATTGTTTTTGTACTGCAATTAGTTGCTATAATTCAAAAGACGGTGCAGAGGTAAAGACCTCACTGATCATGCCCTGACATTAAGAGGAGCTTGCAGAAGAAATGTCGAGGGAATAGCATTTCACCAGAGGAGGAAGAGAAATCCTATAGAGCTATTCCATGTAAAGTTCTCCAGTTATAACTCTCCCTGCCTGCACTGTTAAAAAATGAATATGAATTGGGAATAATCCATCTTTGCTGTCATTGCTCAGAGTCAGTTTAGTGTAGTGGATAAGGCATCATGCTAGAAACCAGGACATTGAGTTCTAATCCTGCCTTAGACACAAAGGCAACTGGATGACTTGAGCCAGTCACTTTATCTAGCCCCAGGAAGGGTGCAATGACAAATCACTTCTGAAATCTTGCCAAGAGTCAACACTGACTCAAAGGAACACATGCATAAACCCCAATCATTGCTGATATTCTAAGTTGTATCTTGCTATGTTTTGTTGTCACCAGCAGGATCCCAGCAAACATTAGATCTTGATTGACCCCAGACTGATCTCTTTCTTCCCCTAAGCTTTCTCCTGTTCTCTCCTTCTCCCGGCATTCATCCTTCTCAAGGTGGTGTTTCTGTCTCATCTCTCTGGCCACCTGCTTGTTTACTGAAAGTCAACATAAGCAGACGTGTGTGAGGAACACACTTTCAACATGCTGTGTTATGCCGTAATCCCTGCTGGGAATGGGGTAAAAGCTCTGAGCAATAACAGCAGGTCTTCCATCTTATCATCTCTTCTCAAACCAAAGGGAATTAAAGCTGAAAAAGGAGAGAGGGGGCTAGAAAAGTGCAATCAGGTGACTAAGAGCTATCAACGTTATGCAGTAAGCTGGCATTTTGAAAACTGGATGGTTTTTCTACAGTCAACATCAGAATGGAACAGGAGAAGGAGAGAGAACTAGTAGCTTTGAGTGAATTAATCTCTCAGCCTAAAAAGAACTGATTATAAATTGTAATTATCAATGTAAGCATCAAGAAACTACAGTCTTGAAGTTTTTGATATCAAGCAAACATTTTCCTCAAAGAAATAGATTCTTAATTTTTTTTTAAAAAAAGGAGTCCCGTGAACCACTTGTCACCATATGTAGCTTTCTTTCAAGTGTCTGAAGAAGTAATTTGATTAATTGAAGTAATGCT